GATGCGCAATAGTTTCCCATCCTTTGGTGGTGTAATGTTGTGGGATGCATCCCAAGCTGTTGGTGTGTTTCTTGTTCTTTTGACTGATTGTTTTCCAGCGACTGACGGTCACCAATCACCCCACAAAGCCAATGATAATTATGATGAATCTATCAAGAGTGCCTTGACTGCAGCAGGTGGAACCGGATTCGAATTCCCTCCTTGCTCCGCACCCGCATTTGTAGCTGGAACTAACTATCCAGGAGGCTCTATTGTTTCGTTTGAAGGGTAAGTCTATACTCAAACATCTTTACAAAAGACCCCCTGATCTAAAGAGCAACCTCACTAGGTACATTTGGGAGGTATGCTCATAATAATCTTATCTCTGTACATGCGGCGAATTGCTCTATTTTAGACAAAATGGTTTTCAAATGCTCAGCCAAGCAGTAACCCCAACGGTGACTGGAGCGCTAGTATGTAAATTCCTTTTTATTCAACAAACAGTCATTCAACATCAACTTTGCACAGTATCTGCTTGTGCTGGTCCTGCTGGTGGTGGCGGCGGGTCGGGAACAACTACTGTACCATCTTCGACTACAACTTCTGCCCCTTCTTCACCCACTACCACTGCACCTACTACCGGAAATTGCGCCGGAGTCCCAGCCTGGTCTAGTACAGTCGTTTATAGTGATGGCGGCATGCAGGTGGTTTTCAGGTAAGTGAAGATTCGTAACAATTCCCAGTAGATATAACCTCATTCTACTTTACAAGTGGTCACCTATGGGTTAATCAATGGTGGACCCAAGGGGATACCCCTGGTGGAGGTACGGTTTTTTTTTGCAATCCATTGACTACGCTCCACTGAGACTTACTTATCCTTAGCTGCTGGTGTTTGGCTCGACAAAGGGGCTTGCTCTTCATCTCGTGTCAGTTCGCGGCTCTTCCGAATCCAGTAGACAACAGCAGCAAATTTTATGTCACTTAACGACATCTCACGTTGAAATGAATATCTGTCAATGTATTTTCTTGAAAACAGAGATCTATCGATGAGTATACCAGTGTGAATTTGGTTGCTGTTTTTTGTGTTATGCGGCTCGGAATACTCTGTTCTGACGTGTTTACTAACATCGACTATAAAGAGTCCGTTGTTACCTGCTGGTATATCCGATTTAGATGTGATTCCACCGAAGAAGTCTCTTTCTGTACTTTCTAATCTGCTTATATGCGGATTAGAAGCACCAAGATATCCATAAGAAGTACCTCAAAATTTCTATCCAGACTGCTTATTTCAGTTACGAGGATGGTTTTTTGCCGGCGATCGAGGGCCTCAGTGCGATGTCGCACAACACGGAATTCATTATTTAGGGAGGACGTTTCTAGATGTTTTAACTTTTTCCAAGTGTACCTTACCTCCAAAGCGAGAGAATAGCTGTGAAGTGTCAGAGAAGTATACCGATCAGAATCGAATGAAGGCCCAAAGTCTCGACGAGGTTAGCAATATCCAAAGGGTCGGTTTTACCGAGCATTTAGTAGGCCACGTTCGACACCAGGCAGTGTACATTGGTAGGAACTATACATGAATAGTCATGATCATGATGGGTGGTCCTATTGATATTAGGCTCTGAATAAAGTACTCAAGTCGTAGTATCGACGCTCGAAGGAACCGAGGTTTAGCAATGATATATATAAATTTAAAGCTTGTTCAGAACGCATACTAGTTTCATTATTTGAACTAGAGTTAATACTAGAGCCATGATCAATCTCCCTCAGTACCAGTGCGGCCCGGTTGTTCCAACTGACGCTCTTTTCGAGATTGAGAGCTCGCTCAAGTGAATCAACCGTGCGCGTTTCAGCATGAGGCAGACTAGGAAAGCGTTTCTTCACATTTCTGTCAAAAGAATCTATGACAAGTTATTGTCCAGCCGTGTTTCAAGGTCAAACCTTGCAAACTGATAAAAGTATTTTTGAGTACCCCGCGACCCATGTGCAAGGGTCCTTCGACTCTTCGACCGGTGGGCAAGTGGGAGAGTGAAGAAAACAGGGTCGACGGCAGCTTAGAAGAGAACATTAATCAACGAGTATCGATCTGGCTACGACTTCATACGGATACGGACGTACTGTAGTAAACATTTCGGACGTTGAAAGGTGTACCCGCACCATAACCAGACTTAATTCATAGGACGACACGTTATAGCTACCGTCGCGGACACTAACTGCGCACGGGGATGTAGTGTACGTTCTCTGGCTCGTTCCAGGTCTTCTTGGCATCTTCAACGTTTGTAGCACATGTATACGATTTTTGTCCTGAATTTGAAGCTCTTGCTTCGAAAACACGGAGGGAATGAGATGTATATGGGAGACAAAGCCTAAACCTGTAAAGGCAGGAATCCAAGCATTCGCGGAGCACTTGAGAAAGTGATCATGAGAAATGATGTGCATCTCTCGACCGCTATCAGACAGAGGGCACTCGTACCACCTTACAGCTCTGTCTCTGTAATTCAGACTAGGAAGACCAAGAGAGTGTGCCTTACCCTGAAATCTGGTAGGTACTTACAGCTATCTCGAAGCCCAGGATCCTGCAAGTAATGTCATGATTGCCGGATATCGGCGCCTCGGATCCTCTACTCCTCGGGATCTTACATACCGTTACTCACATCGAAAAGATATCACTTGAAAATATCTCAAGTAAGAGTCGAACACCCAGGTGGCCCTGAACTCTGAATCGAGCGTCTAGTCGTAAACCCCGTTTTTTTTTTCCAATCGCGGATTCTTGTCACATACTTATTATATTCCCAAATATTTCTCGAATTTCCTCACTCTCGTCACTGGGTAGCAAAACCACGAGTTCAGAGCAGGATCAAAATATCCGGTGCTTCGTACCGCCTTCGAATTCAGTCCTTTTGTTACGAATACTTCAGTTTCTCTATGACTTTCCCACATCAAGTCCTGTCTCTGCCTCGTTCCTCCAGGCTCAGCAGCAACGGATCCAGTCACACAGCGGATCACACAGAGATTTTCTGAGCAAGCAAGGAATCGTGCCGGAGGACTCTGACATTCTGATCATTGCATCTTGGCCGGATATAGAGATCTAACAGAGTCTCAGTTTTTGATAACTTCAAGTATCTTCTATTTCTACTAACCGATGCGCTTAAATTATTCCGAAGTCATGGTCTATCTAAAATTCATGGCTTTCAGAGAAGATTCGATCTCGTAGTTTGTCTTTCTATCGTGTGTAAATGTTCATTTTTTGGAGCCTATTTCTCCCGAGTTTCTGAGGCCTGAAGGGTCCAAGGTCTCTTCAGATTCGAGCCCTCGTGGTTATGAGGTTGAAATCCGATCTCTAAATGTGTTAGGGGGAGGAGGATGCAGTGAGAATGGTGTGCGGAAAGAGCTACGAAGTCGTTAATGTGAATAACTTGACACCGATCCTAGCAGTGAGTCTCTGTAATAGGCTTGGGGTGTATCAGCCTCTACTCAGATACTCGTGCGGCCTGTCGCTCAGTCTTAGTTTTCTTCAATATTAATCCTCACAGCTTCTTGTATTGTTCACTTGCGAATTGCTTTTTTCGTGTCTTCAAAGGTTTTAATTAAGACTGAGTGCTTCTTAGGCCAGTGGCTGACTTGAATTTGGGTTCAGTCAAATTAGCACCCTGATCACTCTGGCATTCTTTCAAGTTCCTCGAGTTTTTCGATACGCTATTCAATAGCATGAGACTGCAAAGGCCTCGGATATCCGTCGGTTTACTCCATTCACCCTCCACAACTCAAACGACGGATGCGAGTGGATTCCGGCGGTACTCCAAACCTTATGCTAAGCATACAAGAATCTTGCTAGCCTATCGAGGAACAAATCAAGATTGAGATGTGGCGGAGAGGCACAAAAGAGATAACTCGGAACCCGAAGAACGGAGCTGAACGTTCTTCTTCGACGGTGGTACACATCTTAACCGTGGCTCCCAGGAAATTTAAAATTACTCAGAAAAACCGATATGTAAGCGTTTTCGGTCCCCCTTTTTTTTTTTTTAGTTCTCTACCATTTGCCTAGAAACAAAGCCGAACAGTACTACTAGCGTGCGTGCGTCGCATTTGTCCTTCAAAATTAAACTGTAAAACCAAGTTTGGCTAGCTGAGAACGACCGGGTGCTTGGTGTTCCTGGAGTCTATGAGTATCTGGGTAGCAAGCACGATGGGAAATCTAGAAACTCGGGAACAAAGTTTCGAACGAATGGCGCCAGCAAAGCAAATGAAATGGCCAGGCTCCCATGAGTAGCATGCTGTAGCATGACGTGTATGGACGCCGGGTCGACCTAGTGGCAAAAAGGCAGTGGAGAACCAATAAGCACTGAGAATCTGTCGCCGATCAAACAAAGGTCTCGTCCTAAACAGCTGGTGGTGAGTGAGTAGAATAGTTAATAGGCAGGATGGCTAAGTAATGATGCGAAAGTCTCGTGTAGTGCACGTAGTAACGAGTTTGGCCACCGTTGAATTGGAGGTACCACAGACTCACAGGATTCTATGCCTTGTTTATATGGTTGTAAGTCTTTAACTAGTAATATAGCTCTCGTATGTCTAAATAGTTCAGTCACTTGCCCGATGTGTCTGCAGAAATATCATCAGAGATATGACTCTACCTTTTCCGGCCAAAACTCCTCTCTTTCAATGCATACTCTCCAATGTTACATGAACTTTGTGTACGACAGAGGGGTATACCGTGCTAGAAGGGAGGCCCAGGCATCCGTAGTACTCACACTTTTATACTCAAGCAGCTCGGTAGGTCGAGATGTATCTGAGAATCTCAACGGAGGCGTACTTATAAATAAGTTCTCAATGACAAGATATCCATTTCTTGTCGATGAAATGCGTTCGGCGCTTGTTAGACGAGTCTGTTCAAACCCACTGCAAGGTATCCTTCCGCTGTCTACCTTACTTATACTTACTTCAGACTTCGTAACCCTGACGGCCACCAAGGGACGAGTCGACGTTGACGGTATGAGTCGCTTAACCTCTCGGATAAAGCTATGGTCACTTTGCCGGAGTGGTTAACGGGATCGCCTGCTAAATAAGCATTTGTAAGCGGTTGGGCTTTGCCCGCGTGTGTTCGAATCGCACAGGTGACGGAACTTTTTCTTCCGGTTTCGGCTGTTTTGCCGAGCGCAGCTGCCGAGCTTTTGCTTTGAACGGCACTGTGCTGACAAAGTAAGGTCCATAGACCACATTCGTTTACCGCTCAAAGTCCCAATCCTACTCTAGGGACCTGCCGTGTAATGACTAACTACTCTTGCTCTCATAGTTCAACGTTCAACACCCATAGACTTCGAAACAGCATTCTCGGCGTTTAGACCATGTGCTATCCATATTCCTCTTACTCTAGACTCGAGCTCTATAAAATTCCTAAGAGCTCTCGTCTTTTTTCCACGCCTGCTAAAAATACACGATGCAGTTTCTGATCTACAGACTACAGTCGGACAATCCAACTCTAAAAAAATACCTCATCCTCATTTGTTCTGGGTTCTCACGACTATCACGCCAAGGCATCACAAGCATTTTTTCCTCCATTCAACTTCAAGTGTTTCTTTTTCTTGGAAGTTTGGCTTGGGCGGACCAACGGCGGGCGCTACTATGCATATGTATCACTTACCCTGCTCCTTTGTTGTCAATGTTCAGACAACCAGAGTTGATTTGATGGATAGACGTTCGTTTGTCTTCAGACTTCCTGAGGTTGGAAAGTTTACAATTTATTCGTTTTTACAACAGTGCAGTGATGGCGACAGGAGTTACGTGTGTCTACTTGTACATAGATCGATGCAAGAAAAAAAAAAAGAAAAAGAAAATCTATATGACATGGTTCATACCTCGGTTCGAGCTGTCTTGAGATCCTTGTCCATAATATCGACCAGATCGATGACTGCCACGTCTACCAGGCTCTGCGCCACGCCCCTGACCACGTCCTCCTCTCGTTGTTCCTGTACCTGTTACATGCGCCAAGTAAGGATTCTGGTCATGCAGTCGCTGCGCCGACATTCCAAGTTTCACACCGCCCGAAACAGGTATACCCTGAGCGTATCCAGAAACGAACGCAGCCGGAGAGGAAGTCATGGCTGTGCCACCACCACCACTGATGAATTGAGCAGGTAATGCAGCGGCGTCCACGGAATTGAGATCCATGGACAGAGTGTCACCGTTAGAGTTGGGCCGGGTTTTTCTGCGTCGTCGTCGTGGTCGTCGTCGTGGTGTCGATGTCGTTGTCTCCGATCCACTGATCTCTTCTTCGTCCTGTGCCTCGTTAATGTTGGGGCGCTCATTCTTGTCCTCGTCCATATTCCCATTTCCGTTCTCTTTTTCCTTCTCCTTCCCCCGGCCGTTGTTGTCCTTCGTTCGTTTATCTTTCTTGGGTGGCGAAGGTCCTGGATCATATTCGGGGTTTTGCATAGACCATTTAGTCCAGGATGTTCTTTGAGGCAAGAGGGGCCCGATTGGTTCTCTGGATTCTGGATCTAGAGGGAGATAGAGTTCGCCTTGGATGCAGTCAAAAGCATAGTACTTGCGTTTGGGTCGTTTGTCCTCAGGAAGAGTAAAGAAAAGTGCAAGAAGGTGTTCGTAAACAGTATATCCCGCTCTTGCATCTTCGGCTGCGTCTGTTTTTTTTTCTTTTCGACAAAGAACATTTATAACAAAGATGGTTGAAACATACATTCAATCTGTTGAGCACTCAACGAGGCTTCCCAGTTACTTCTAGTGATTCTGCCCTTACTTAACTCTTTGTTGTTATAAGCTTTGGCGAGACGTGCTAGACCAATAGGATCGCGATATCGACCTTTCCATAAGCGAGCATCATGGGGACTAGGCGGCATGGGAGGAGCAGAATTGGGCGCGGCAGGCTCGCCAGATGACTCAGGATTGGATTCAGCAATAGACGCTTGTGGAGTAAGGGTACGCGGGGCCTCAATCTTGAGGGACACATCCTTGTATGGACCCAGACGTTGAGCAAATAGAGCATAGTCGACGGAGCGCGCAAAAAGAGAGAGGTCGACACAGGATGTGACGGAAACGTGACAGTCGGACCATAGTTTCTTGACATCTCCCTGGATGCCTACACCAGTTTTTGGAATGCAGGGATTTTCCAATACTTGCTGAACAGACAGAGGAAATTCTGAGGATATATGAGTTGAGGTTGTGCCAAGAGTAGAGCAGTGTACTTGCGGGGTCTCATGCGAGATACCTGGACAAGGAAGGTGTGGTGTTCAGAAGCCAACTGGACGAGAGCAACAGGGTTTTCGGGACGACCGGGGACATAGTTTGGCTTCCACTCGAGGTCAAAGCCAAGATGAGCATCGTAGGGTTGGAGGAGGGCGAGACTGGTATTTGCAGTGGCTAGAGTGGTGGTATACCAAGTGGGATGTTGCGGTGAAGACATGTGACAGGTTGTCTGCGTGACAGAGTAACATTAGACACGAGCATTATTTCTGGCTCCGCAACAAGTGGTACAGGAACAGCTAACTGAATTGATCATTTTGCCAAGCCCTTCGCTCTGGCTTGGCATGCTATATATAAAATCTCGTCTATTTTTGCACAAGGCTCGGCGATGATATAAAACATACAGCCTATCCTCTGCAAATCCACAGAAAAATGAACACCCACGATTCCCTCATTGCTTCTGCTCGCCAGACCCTCGACCAACCCGCCCCTCCCACTCTCCGAGAAATTCTCACTGCCTATCGTACCAAGGGTGATGGGGACCGCGACATGCTTCTAGCTATGCTCAACGCGAAGGCTGCAGAGGACCAGGTCTGTCCTGTTCTCATATATGTATTTCTATTGTGGGTTGCTGACTTTTCTTTCCATAGCGTATTGCCCAGTCTGCATCCTTACACCGTGCTCTTTTGGAGGAACATTATTCTCAGGCGTCTATCCTCCCGCCTATTACCCACTACCCATCACCGTCCGAGTCTAACAACGGGCCTTTGCGAAAACGCCATCGCTCATCGCGATCTCCATATGCTCGTCCAGACCGAGACACTGACCGGGATTCCAACCTTGGTCTTCCTCCATCTCCATACTCATCGCGATCGTCGCGTTCACCCGAGTTTTCCCCTCCGATCCAACACAGACCGAGCATGGCCATAGGCTCGCTTGTTTCTGCTTCCAACCATGTCTATGCTGCTTCGTCACCAGCGCAATCTGTATCTGATCAAACACATCATGATTCTTCAGCCCAAGACCGTCAACGGTCACCATCATAGTGTGCTAGTGTGCTGTTTCTTTTTTTCCCTGCTGTCGGCTCTTTTTTTGGGTATTTTCAGGCCTATATGCTTACTATACATACCAAACATACTAACAATACCTGATGTTTACATTACTGTACTATGCTTGTATCATTACCACGTCGCAATTGTACGCCATGCCAAGCAAAATTAACCTGCCAAGCCAAAGCTGAGTCTAGTTCCCGCAAGTGTGGTTAAAAATATACCTTTCAATATTTCTTGTTTCGCCGGAACTTTTTATTCAAGCATCCTGTCCCATTCATGTCCAACTGTTTGATATGCATCGTAATATACCTATACACACCCATCATTGCTCTCCGTGTCCCATTAGCTTAAACGCCCAGAAACAGGCAAAGAAAACTCGATTCCGTGGACGACCCGGAACCGTGCAGCCAGAAATAGCCTTGGGGCTCTACAGCTTTTTGACTTCCAAGAGTCTTGGTATCGAACCATCTGACACCCTATCGCACGAATGTGCCAATTATAGACATTGGTTTTTTTGGCGTCTTGGGCTTGGCTTTAGGCTTGTCAGGATATTTTGGGTAGTTGCATACGTACGTATACGTATACGAAAATCATGCACCAACTCTCAGACGGACGCCACCGCCCTGTCCGCAACTCTTCCGCAACAATGCGCCCCCCTTTTTCTGTACTTACGGGTTCGCGATGTTTCATTAATAGTCACGGCGTCTAAGTAGGTCAATACACCAAAGTCCAGAACATCCTACACCTATTATAGTAGTAGTATTCGCTATCGGCATGCCCGGTCGAAACACCTATTAACATCTCTATCAAATGCTACCGCTGGGAAACATCTTGAGGGGTCATTCTCTTGGGAGTGGTTCGTGTGTGTGCGTTCCTCGAAAAAAGAAAAAAAATCTTCACTTTTGGCCCGCAGTTCGATCGCAGTTCTCAACCTCGAACCACTCTCCAACCCGCTATTTCCCAAGCCCGAGCCCGAGGTTCCACTCTTCATTCAAAAATCTATGGTCCCAAGTTAACACGTGATTTGCAAGGGAATGTAAAATACCGCAGGCTGGAGATATGATTCTCATCATGGATCCCAAGTTGTGCTTGGTACATGTACATGGAAAAAGGCAAAACCGAAACCTAAACACTTTTGCTATGTAGATAGTTACCGCTTGTCGTTCCAGGTCCATGGAATCTTCATTGAACGAATTATCTCGAGACATACTTGTTCTGGGGAGAAGTGGTTTGGTCCGGTCCCATTGCTTCGGGTTATACATACATTTTTAGAGTTTATCGACTAGGAAACAAAACGCAGCACGCCACGACGACGTCGACGACTGTCGATATAGGTCCTTATTTTGTCCGCTTGTGTCCCCTTCCAGCTCGCCCGAAGCTTGGCCATAATGATCTCCTGGAAACTTTGCTCCGTTCCGGCCCTCAAGGAAGGAATGATAGACCGACATTCATCCCTTCCATGGAGGTCATCTTGCGTTATTTCTAACTGAGCTCTTAAGCTGATACATTTGTTTCTACCCGGGCCCGGAGCCGCCAGCCGGGCCTAACCAGCCTTGACAGTTATAAATTATAATGTAGTGTATCTATCTATAAAAAACATGAATTGATTCTATACATATGTACTTGTGTACTGTTACACATATTTGACGCACTCGTCGGAGCAGAACGATAATTTTGGTCTCTCTTTAGGCTTGGCATGGTGCGATCTTTCGCAGTAAGGTTCTAAGAATACGTTTTCTTGAGACAACCCTTATTACGACGCGATACGTCTGCCAAGCAAGAATCGGGTTTGAATAAATAACTTTCTGGGAGGAAAGGGAAGGACGAGATAAGCTCGTAGGTGCACTATCCGATCCTTTCGTTCTATACGT